CCTGAAAGCCCGAAGCCTGAAGGTGACGAATGAGACTTCGTCGAAACGTCGCCAAGACACTTCCAATTTTATGCGGGAGAAAACCCGAATAACCAAAGACCTACATACTAACACCCGCGAAAACCTCAGAAAACATATATACATGCCCAGGTTCGAATCCCAGTAAGGGTACAGCTAGCTGATGAGAGCTAAATAGCTTGAAATAGATCTATACTAGTCTATATATATACACACATACATACATGCATGCATGCATGCATACATACACACACACACACACACACGTGTGTGTGTGTGTGTGTGTCTATTGCACTCTGCAAACCTCCCAAAAATGGCCCATTTTTTGCGAAAACACCCGTTGTTGTTTTTTTTAAAAAGGGCATGAACAGCCCTTAGGAAGCTTGTAGAATGTTCCTGGGGGAGGGCAGGGGCGGGCCAAAAGGAAGCCAAAAATGGCCCATTTTTCATAAAAATGGGCCCCTTTTTCTAAATAAAAAAAAAGGGGCATTAGAAAGCATATAGAGTGCTCCTGGGGGCTGGAGGGGGGCAAAATTGGGCAAAAAACGGGCTGTTTTTTGCTCATTTTTGCCCTCCCCAGCCCCCAGGAGCTCTCTGAGAACCTCCTAAAGGCTATGCATGGCCATTTTGGTGAAGGGGGTGGGGTTTGGGGAGGCATAAAATGCTGTATTCAGTGTATAAGGTGCACCCAGATTTTCAGCCTCTTTTTTGAGGGGAAAAAAGTACGTCTTATACTCAAAAACTACGGTATATCAATGGTAGCTCAGTGGCTAAGACACTGAACTTGTCAATCAGAAAGGTTGATAGTCAGTCAGATATTTAGACTGCATTTGGCATTTTGGTCTATTGAGTTTTTCCCATGGGATGGGTTGATATTTCATGGTGTTACAGGTATCATCACAGGTTGTAAGCAGTTCCAAATAAAACTGCTTTTTGCAATTGATTGATGGTGAATTTGTCAATGTTATTACTACCATTTATGCATGTTCCTTTTAGTCAGCATTGATTCTGCAGTTTTCTTAACAATATTTTCAGAAGTGATTTGCCATTGCCTTCCTCCTAGGACTAACAGAAAGTTAACTGGTCCAAGGTTACCCAACTGTCTTTGTGCCTAAAACAGGATTAGAACTCAGCATCTCCCAGATTTTAGTCAAATGCCTTTACCACTCTACCAAACTGCCTCTCAAGTTGATTAAGCTGGAGTAACTTTAATTGTTTGGGGGAGGGGGGAAATGTAGAAGCAAATGTGTATGATGATAAAGATATATACATCAGGGAGGGTTAAAAAAAATAAATAAAAATACCAACTGCAACCATGCCTTTTTAAAATTCAACTTGAGATATTAGGAAATAGGCAGTGTGTTTCTTGCAGATAATTTGTACAGTATTCTCTTTTTGAAATTGGATGAAAGGTAACCAATTAACTGCAAAGAAGATTTTATGCACAAATGCAATTTAATATACTCGCTGGATTTTCCTGTTATGATCGAACTGTAACTACTTTTAAAACATTAATCTATGCAAAAGTTGTCTGCATTTTCCCCGGTTTTAGAAAATAGCCGAGAAAAATCACACATCGTATTAGCAGCCTATTCCTTTGTGCGATGTCTTTACTTCCACACAGTTTTTAATAGAGCAATTTCATGCCTTTTTAACTAACTTTTTCATTCAGAGATTGCAAGCATGATGGGGGTGGAAAAAAAACTGTTGTAGCAAATTATTCAATTCTTGGCATCACTTATGAACAGAATAATAGCACACTGTTTGTGCATGAGTGTGCGTGGATGCGTGACATCCACATCAGTTCAAAGAGATTCTTAAAACCCAAAGATAACAAAATCCCTCAAACTTTCATCATAAATTAGAATTTATACCGGGCTTAAGTTATTGAGTATTAACCTTTTCTTTTGTTTCCGGATCTTAGAATTGTTCCAGAAAATCACTATCCTCATTTTGATAATATTGAGTGGATAATGTAATAAACAGGAAGGACTCGCCTTTCTACAAATCACAGCAAATTCCAAGATAATCTTTCTTTTGAAGTATATATTCCTGTGGTTTTACACATTATTTGGCCACCAGGAGGCAGAAATATATAAAACCAAAGGAATATAATATCCTGAAAATAGTCCTCTGCCTGGAATGGGGAGAGATCATGGGAAGTCATGACCATCCAAGAGAGAAGAGCATAGCTTTCTCTCTCTACTCTGAGAGCTCAAATAAGGGGGAGAGATTTTTTTTAAAAACCCTTCCTTGCAAAGAAAGGAAATGCTATAGATTGACAGTATTCTGATAAGTACAGCTAGTCCTTGACTTAAAAAGGTAAAGATAAAATTTCCCCTTGCACATATGTGCTAGTCGCTCCTGACTCTAGGGAGCGGTGCTCATCTCCATTTCAAAGCCGAAGAGCCAGTGCTGTCCGAAGACTTCTCCGTGGTCATGTGGCCGGCATGACTAAACACCAAAGGCGCACAGAATGCTGTTACCTTCCCACCACAGGTATTGCATTTTCTACTTGCATTTTTACATGCTTTCAAACCGCTAGGTTGGCAGAAACTGGAATGAGTAACAGGAGCTCACTCCTTTACATGGTGCTAGGGATTCGAACCACCGAACAATCGAGTTTTCTGATTGACAAGCTCAGTGTCTTAGTCACTGAGCCACCGCGGGCCTTGACTTACAAGAGTTTATTTAAAGACTGTTCAAAGTCAACAATACTGAAAAAAGAGACAAGAAAGTTTTTCACAGTTATGACCTTTGCATCATTCTCACAATCATGTGATCAAAGTCCAGATGCTTAGCAACTGATGCATATTTATGACCATTGCTGTGCAAACTCAAAGGGGAAGCCAGATTCACTTAACAGTCATGTGAATAAGTTAACAACTGCATTGTTAACATAGGTCTACTCTAGGCCATGGTCTATTCTAGGCACGGTTTTGCAAAAATCCAGAAGTAAATGTTAGGTTTTGGCAAAACCAAGATAAAACGCAGCCACGTGACCAAAGACACTGCAGGCAACTATGAATGCAGCCAAAGGAATGGGAGAGCAGGGATGGCTGTCAGAACTTTTAATCCTCGTCATAAGTAGCCTTCTGTTGTAACTTTAAATGGTCACAAAGTCTCCAGTTGGAATTTTAGGACTACCTTTATATGGTTTTGACTCTCTTGTTGTCAAGGAATCACATTAAGTTCTAGTTCAGAAGATTTATTGCTCAAGGTTCGAGGTTCATTTTATTTATATGCCGCCCTATTCCCAGCGGGACTCAGGGCGGCGCACAAACCNTCAAACCCCCACTAGCAGTTAAAAGGAAGAAACAGCCGAGATCTCACATTGCTCCTGGAAGCATGAAACCTGAAGAAGACGAATGAGACTTCGTCGAAACGCTGCCAAGACACTTCCAATTTTATGTGGGAGAAAACCCGAACAACCAAAGACCTACATACACACACACACACACAGACATATAACAGATTAAAAAAAGAATTGATGAAGATAGACATTCAGATAGCTAAAAAAGTAAAGTACTTAGGAATTCAATTAACAGCAAGATGTGCAACCATCTCTCCCCACCCTTTGTTTTTAGAGTCTTGTAGCATTTTCAATCTTATTCTTGTTCCTTTGCCAAATTTATTTTAACATCATTTTATTTAGGTCTTCAAAGTATTTTTTTTCTAAATTTATGAGGATTGTTTGGAACAAAAATAATGATCTCGGCATGATGTTCATTTTTATTGTAGCTATTCTCCCTGTCATTGATAATTTCAAGTTTTTCCATTTCTCCAGATCTAGTTTAATTTGTTGCAACACCTTAGTATAATCATCTTCTTTGATGGTTGCACATCTTGCTGTTAATTGAATCTTTGTCTCTGTCAACATGTATATCTTCATTCTTCCATCTAAGTATTTCTCCCATCTCTATCCTCCTAAGCTGCCCAATCTCCAGAGTATCCACCCATACGCCCCTTTCAAAAACATCTTCCAGGTTATCCAATTCCAATCCCATTTTTATAACTCTCAAAACATTTTTTATCATCCTCTTGTTTTATTTGGTGATAAATACGGTATTTATGTTTTTAGTTTATACAGTTTTTTATGATTGTAAGTCACCCAGAGTTACCCTGAGGTAAGATGTGCAGCCTATAAATTTAATAAAAAAACAAATAAAAACTAAATCCTTATTTTGAGTTTGGATCTCCCTCTGCTTTCACTGATTGGTTCTTGTCCTACTGGTGCAAAAATAAGTCCACCCATTCTTCCCTTTGATAACCCTTCAACTATTGGAAATTTGCTATCATATCACCCCTTAGTCTTCTCTTCTCTAACCTAGCATCCTCACTTCTTCATAGAATTTAGTGTCCAAGTCCCTCACCATTTTTGTTACTTTTTTTCTGCACTCTTCCCAAATCAGCATCCTTCTTTTATTATGGTGAACAGAACCAAGAGTTAGGAGGCATATAAATTTAATAAATATAATAAATAAATTTATTTTAAGCCTCATACATTCTTCTTATAGTCAAACCATCTCAGCCCTTTTTTAACTTGATCAATTTTGTATTCAGTTCACCTATTCATGTTTGACCCTTTATCTCGGACTGATAGGATTTATTCAACACAGAAATTAAATTGAAACGAGGTTATAGAGCTTTGCTTATCTTTAATCAGCAAATCAGTTTCGGAGTCAGTAAGGAAATTTCTATACGAAAGTACGCTTAATACATCCCGTAAGTGCCTTGATTTCGGGGAAACCACGCGTTTTCACATAAAAGAAAGGTGCGGTTCGAGGCCGGTGGGAAGAGAGTGGATGATATCGCATCTTTAGCATTTATTCGCTTGGCAGGCTGGCAAACTACATTTCCCAAGAATCTTTGCGCGAAATGTGTGCTGACATTGTCACGGCCATCTTGAAATCCGAACTGCTATTAAAAATATTTGAGGGTTGCAGCATCTTCCACTCTTGCAGCGGCCTGGGAACAAAGTAGGGGAGACTCGGTAGCTTTTTGGAAGGAGGCGCTTTCGGGTACTGGTCAGCTATCCGATTCGGCTGGAGAGGTGTATGAGATTGAAAGGAGGGGCATTTTTGAGCTAGGCAGATCTGTGGGGAAGGAATTTTTTTTGCTCCACCCATCTGAGTTAGCGCTCTTTCGGTCAGCTAAAGCTAACTCAGCTTGGAAATAGCAACCGGGAGAGACAAAAGAGAAGGGAGGCCCCCCGAAGAAATGAGGGAATCCTGTCGAATTTGTGGTCGGGAACTTTGTGGCAATCAGAGGCGCTGGATCTTCCATACCGCAACTAAATTGAATTTCCAGGTTTTGCTCTCGCATGTTCTGGGCAAGGAGATCTCACGGGATGGCAAAAACGAGTTTATCTGCAGCAAGTGTGCCTTTATGTTGGAGCGCATCTATCGCTTTGATACTGTTATTGCGCGCATCGAAGCGCTGTCAATTGAGCGGTTGCAGAAGCTGATGCTAGAAAAGGACCGCCTCAAGCTGTGCATCGCTGGAATATACAGGAAGAACAATGTCGAGGCCAGCGACGAGACGACGGACGTCTCCAGCCTGCCAGATCTGCGCTACTCGGCTCTCCTCCAGGAAGACTTCGCTTATTCGGGGTTTGAATGTTGGACAGAGCCGGAGGAACGGACTGGAGACCCACAAGGGTGCCACGCTGCAGAAAGCCGCCCTAGGCGGTGTCGGAGTTGTGCTATGCTGCGCGTTACTGATGCTGATTATGAGGCAATTTGCAAAATCCCACGGAAGGTGGTAAGAAATCTGTCCTGTGGATCATCCAGGAGTTCTGGCAACGTTTGTAGTGAAGAGTTAATTCTATGTGAGCCAGTAGTTACTGACTTGCTAAGCGTCAAGGCGCCTTTGGATGAAGAAAGAGTGGAAGGGGAAAGTCCCGAATTGTCCCTTGGGTCGTTGGATGCAACTGCCATCGCTGATACATTACATCCAAAAGAGGAGGAAACGGGCACAGAGGCAAAGAGAAACGCAATGTGTAACTGTGGAGCCCAGAGCTTTTCATTTCAGGGCAACAGGTTAGAAGTAGCCCTTAATTTGGTGAAAGCTTTTGACTGCAAGCCAGTCCAGAGTCCCAGAGGGAGCAAGTTACCTATTCCTGTCAAATCAAGTTCTCATTGGCAGAACTTCGATAAAAACTTTTCTTCTGGCTTCTCAGATGTGGTGCCAAAATCTCAACCTGGCTTTGCCTTAGAGATGTCTGATCTGCAGGAATTGTGGGAAGACTTGTGTATGGATTATATTCCACTTCGAACTAAGGTAGAAGATTATTTCTTCCAATTCTGCCTTTCATATTGTCATCCTGCACTTTTGATGCACTTTTGGTTTGAGATGCAACCTGTAGTTTTTTTTTTCTTTTAGCTTTCAGTTACGTTTGCTTTGCAAAGGATTACAATGAATATTATTTTTCTGCCTTACATGTGATATAAGAGTTATCTTTTTAAAAGTCCTTGTAGTGTTGAATTTATTAGTCAAGATTTGTGCTAGCTGTGACCTGATTAGGATATTCACATAAAAATTGGCATGTCTTCTGTGGTTTTTTTTAAAAGGGAATTGTTATTGTCATAAAAATATATCATTTCAGATTGTCCTCACTGGCATGCTAGATATCATGTGCAAGGAGATTGCATTATGAATTTCATTGACTTTGTTAACAAAATTTTATAAATTTTACTGATACGTTCAGTGGCTATACTTAACAAACAGTACCTCTAACAGCATTATTTACAGATTTTTTTATCCTGCCTATTATTTCTATAAATAAATCAAGGTGGTGAGCATACATAATATTCTTTACTCCTCCTACTTTCCCTTCAAGAGCAACTGCCCTATGAAGCAAGTTGGGCTGAGAGAGACTGATTGGTCAAAAGTCACCCAGCCAGCTTTCATGCCTATGGTGAGACTGGATCTCACTGTTTCTAGTTTCGAATGTCTTAACCATTAGACCAAACTGGCTTTATATTTATATATCTATTATATCTATGTTTGCATAGCAATAAATGCTAATTTCAGTTATCAATAGCATTTAGATTTATACTGTGTTTCCCTGAAAATATGACGTGTCCTGAAAATAAGGCCATGCCACATTTTTGGAGTAGACAAAAATATACGCTCTCCCCTGAAAATAAGCCCCCCTCTCTCTCACACACACACACAGGTCCCTCACCCCCCCAACCCTCCCATGACAGCCACATCCCTGCGAACTCCTGCACCCGCTGCCCCTTCTGCCCGTCCACTGCCCGTGGCACCGACTGTAGACCTTGAGTGCCTGTTCCTGCTCTTGCACCATGGCGATGGCCTGCCCGCTCTTGCCCAGGCGCCATGTCCGCATAGGCCGCAGTACCTGCCACAGCAGCCACAGCGTCAGCATCGTCACCCCGGGGCTATCAGCAGGGCGGCCAGCAGCGGCAGAGAGGACTCCGTGCATGGCGGGCGAACATTGGTGTGCATGCTTCCAGTGGGGGTGGCTGCTGCATGGTGGCCAGTTGCAGCTGGCGCTGGTCTCTTGGGGATGGCTGAGGCATTGCAGGTTTTGCTGCTGCTGCCGTTGCCACCTGCGGAGGCCCAGGCTAGCCCCTTGCGGCCAAGCTCTGCCGTGGGTGAGGAGTACTGACCATGGCTGGGCCAGCTGAGCTGCATCTGTCAGGGCTGCCCTCGGCCCGGCTGCTTGATGTCTCACTGCTGGGTGCCTAGGAAGAGTAAGCGTGAGGAAGGGGGGCAGGCAAGGGTACTGCGAGGCTCCCCTTCCCAAGAAGAGTCTGGCCACATCACCGTCCCATCCATGACTCCCAAGGAAGAGAGGCTTCCTGGGCTTGCCAGGGGGCACTCCACACTTGGATGAGGAGATTGTGGAGTGATTGGAGAGGAGCAAAGGGGAATGGGAGACCTCTGGTGACTGTCACTATAGAGTGGCTGCTGCCCTGGCTGGTGGTTTGCAAGCCGCAGAGGATGAGTTTGGGGGAGAGAAAGAAAGACTTCTGCTACTTTTGCTTTTGTCTGCATGCAAGGAAAGTAGCAGAAGCAGAACACATTGATGTGGTGAGGCCTGGGAGGCACGCAAGCAAGGGGGTAGGCGCTTGCGCGGCTTGGTGCCTTTGGGCTGCTCACATTCCACACACACACTGAGGGAGGGGAGGGGCTTGATGGCGGCACATGGAGGGAGCCTCTGCCAGACTCCCAGCTGTGAGTGCACAGGCTGCCCGGGGTTTCCTGCACCCCTAAAATAATAAGACCCCCTGATAATAAGGCCAAAACCATTTTCGGGGGTCAAAAGAAAATAAGACCCTGTCTTATTTTCGGGGAAATACAGTAGTGCTTTACAGCACTTTCTGAGTAGTTTGCAGTGTCAGCATATTGTCCCCAATATTCTGGGAACTCATTTTAACCAACCTTGGAAGGGTGAGTCAACCTTGAGCCTGTCAGAATTGAATTCCAGACTGTGGGCAGAGTTAGCCTGCAATACTCCATTCTAATCACTGTGCCACCAGGGCTCGTTACCTTAGAAAGTAGAAGAATGCCTGTAACTACAGTATAGTAGCTGATTTTCGAATGACAATTGTATTTTCTTTCAGCAATTTTGTTTTCTCCTAGTTTTTTCACATTACAAAACTCAGTTAAATTAAGTTAACTGCATGGGTGGAAATCCAGAGATACAGACAGAATTGAGCTTTGCTGAAGATTATCTTCTTGCAAAATCTCCAGGAATTGATTCTATTAAAATGATAAAGTTACAATTAATTCTGGAATTTGTAAAAGAGAAACTGCTTTCTATAATTTTAATATTATGTATGCACAATGTTAAGCATGTGTACAAAAATCCTACTGAACTCAGTAAGTAAGATTGTAGTCTTGCTTAAAATCATAAAATGTTACAAAGATATACTGGACTTAAACTAGTACTATTTAGGAAAAAACAGATTGAAGAAAATACAATAATAAAATACATATATACTAAATACAAAGAATCAACAATCAAATAAATGCATCATTTTTATGTGATATTCTGATCTGTTCAATATAACAGAGTTTTAGTGAACTGTCTCATCTATAGGATTAGCAATTCTAATAACAATGTAGCTAAAATGTTAGAGAAGAAAAGCTGCATTCCATTAAAAACTAATTTTACTTCTCTCTTATAGAGATATATTGCAGATATCTTAATGAAAGATGTCTCTTGGGATGTATATTTTATATTTTGAAATTATTTGCAAAAACTGCCTTCAAACTTGTGTAATTTCAGCACTTTCTCTACTATTTATTAAAGAAACTGAATGCTTCAGCTTCATGAACCAGAAAAGGAAGATAACGATGCTTTAAATAATTCTCTCAAGTTCAGCAGCTTAAAAAATATGCAGCTTTGTTAATGAATAAATAAATGATGCACTTTGCCTCTTCCAAGCAGTTTTAGTGAAATGATATAACAATAAAAGGTAAACAATATCTCAGCAAATACTATTTTTCTTATTCTCTTTGTCTCTTCAGAATATGTTTGAGGCTAACCAGCAGCTAACATACTGCAACATGTTAAATGACACAGAACATATGGAAAAAAACAGCTCTTTAAATGCTATGAATAAGGTATTTATTTAATTTCAAAAATGTTCAAAATTATCTTGGGAACAATACAATGGTTTCTAAATGTAACATCTTAAGTCAGACTGTGCTGTCTAGAATACACCTTAATGTAATTTTGGCTTTCAAGGTTGGAAACAAGTAAATATATTACATGGAGGAAGGTCTTAACAAGCTGAAATATTGTGCAACACTATGAAATTTAATAGGATCAAATCAAAGATATGAGTACAGAATGGTGGGCACAACAGTGCATGAAAAGAAAAATTGGAGGTACCTTTGTAGCTGATAGAACTGTTCAATTGTTTTATGGGAACAGGTAAACTGTACATTTAAATTACAAGAAATTGATTTTAATTGAACATGAGGAAAAAATTCCTAGTGGAGATGCTAAAACAAAGGCTGGATGACTATTGGGGGGGGGGAATGCTATAGCAGTAGCTTTCAACATTGAGAGTGTGTTCAAATATATTATCTTCCAAGATCCAACTCATACATTCATATAGCAGTAATACCAAAGTAATACAAATACTTTTTGACTGTTAATGCATACAGTAATATTTTGTGCCTGCTAAAAAGGCATATTGATAATGCCTTAAATAAATGTGATTCAAAATTATCTGAAAGTCAGCTATAGATCTGGGGTTTATGGTGAAAATTTAGCTATTCTAAGTTTTTGGTTAAATATCAACAGTCTGACTAACAAACCCAAGAAAGGTGGACACTTTCAGGAACTTTGTAATCCCAAAACTAAAACTTTATTGGATACACCATTTCAGCACTGAAGAAATAAAACCAGCTCTGCAGTTTTCCTCTGCAATGCTACATAGTTAAACATTAGTCTCCCCTCCTTCCCACCCATAAGGTCATGCTGTCCAATTATGAATCAGTCTTTTGGGGGGGGGGGGGAGAAAAGTTCATTTCTTTGTTGTAGTGACCTTGGTGGGTTCTTGGCTCACACATTCTATTCTTGGATCGTCTGCATTCCTTCTCACACGTCCCTCTCCCCAGTTCTTTGGCAAGTTGAATAGCAATAAGTTTTCAAATGGTTCAGAAGTGGTTCAAATTTGACATAAAATAAAATTTAGCTAAGTTTATTTTTGACTCAGTTACAAAGAAGTTGAGTTTTCCCCTAGTTGAAAGCATCTTCAGCCATTCATTTTCCTTCTTTTGTTCTTGCTATCTGAAAGTTAATACATTATTTGTTTAAATCAAGATGAAAGCCTTGTTTGTATGGAATATATCTTTCTAAATTAGCAAATCTTTATGTGCAAAACATGCCTGGAAATCTGAAAAGCTGCTGTAAGCTAATGTGCCATCTGGTATGCACATCATCTTTCTATAAGTATTTCCATGACTCGTGTACTGTAAATATATATTTATACCTGTAACTGTGCAGATTGAAAGCAATATAGGAATTATCTAGTAAGCTTAACAAAAACTAGTGTCTAAATTCAGACCAGAGAAACATTGACATCAAGTATGTGAAGAAATTACATAAAACTTCATTTTTCTTACCTCTTTGTCAAGACTGACTCACATTTTTGCCTACATTTTTGCTTCACTCACAGCTTGACAATAAAAGGGGTGGTGGTGGTAGATGAAGTGCTAGGGTGGGAGAATAATTTCCAAGCATCCATTGGCTTCTGTGAAACATTGCTGACATCTCAAAGACACATCAAGCAGATGTAGCAACCGTTGCAGGGGTGGGTTGCTAATCCCGTTCCAACCGGTTTGGTTGGAACGGGGCCGGCGGCGTCTTCGTGCACGCGCACAGTTCATGCATGCGTCTTAGCGCCTGCATGATGCTCCAGCTGCTCGCGGAGACTCACGCAGGCGCTGTGTGTGCCATCCAGCTGCTCGCGGAGACTCGCGCAAGCGCTGTATGTGCCATGCGCCTGCGTGGAAGCGCAGAAGCCTTCAAAGACCGGTAAGTAGCGCGGGCAAGCGGGCGGGCCCTTCGCCGTTCCCAGAAGTTACTTCCGGGTTCGCCGACCAACCAGTTCGCGGGGACCGCTGTGAACCGGTTGAAACCCATCCCTGAACCGTTGGTTCCCATAACAAAATGAACAGAAATGATTGGTGGATGTATTGGACTATGGATATCCTGTGGAGAAAAGGGGAAATTAACAATGCTTGCTATTGCATGGGAAACCCAGTGCTGGTTTCGCTTCTTCTCTGTCAATGAGGTTTATTCAGTAACGTTTTAGATTCTTGGTAAAATAATGTTCCATGAGTTTCTTTTTCTGGACTCACCAACTGGACAGTTGATACTCTGATTTGGAGTACTTCTCCATAATTTTTTTGACTGACAAATTAATCAGTTGAGGGATGAAGTATTTATTGGGTGATATAGATAGAGAATTGAACAGAAAAATAAATTCTTGTTTATAATACAGACAACCATTTGTCATTTTTTTACATTCTTGAATTTAAATCTGTTGTGAGCTCTCAAAAGAAAAACATACTTCTGTTTTTGACGCCAGAGTAGAATATAATGATTACCTAGTTACATGAATCTGTTAATATTTTCCTTTATTGAATTATTTATTCCCTTAATAAAAAATGTAGAAGAAAAATGTATACTGTACTTGCAAGGCTATTGAAATGAGAGAAACGGGGCACTCAAATCAGGCAACAGAGCAAGCTGGATATTCTTGTAGATTGCTTCCTACTTTCTCTTGAATTTCCATCCATCCATCCATCCATCCATCCATCCATCCATCCATCCATCCATCCATCCATCCATCCATCTATCTATCACCTGTGTCTGCAGAAGGCAATAGCTTCCCGGTGAATCATTTACATTGTCAGACCTGAAAGCCATCTTTTACATTGGGCCTGCCACACTTTCTACTATGGGAAAATGGGAGGGGGGATTATATGGGTGTATGGTGTATGGTGATATATAGTCAAAATAACCTTCCTTTCTTAGAGAGTCAAGAACACCTTGGCCTGCAGCAGCGATGGTGTGACTGGAAGGCATCTCCAGTTTTGGATGGTGCCTGAGTGGGCCTTGTTATGGACATGTGGATGCTGGGCAGGGACCTGAACTTTCATTTGGGTGGGGGAAACTTGGAAACTTTCAGATTCGGGTTTTCCCAGATGTGCCAATATGACATCTCTAGTAAAATGGAACTTTGAGGAAAGACTTGGTGTGTTATTTGGAACCCTGGCAATAAACCCTAATCCTCTTTAAAAATTCTACCAGCTCCTCCAAACTTCGGGGTGCTCTCCAGAGTCCAGAGCCCCAAACATCGATCTGAACCCAGTGGTGCAAAGACTCAGAGAAGATGGAGGAAGATGAAAACCACGGAGGGAGCCACGGAGATGCTTCAGTGATTTATATTGAGACCATCTACTCCCCTTCCCAAGCTGTGGTGGAAGTTGAAGAAGCCACAGAAAGAGAGCGCCAGCTGGGTGCCCGGCAAAAAGAACTGGCACTCAAGCGGAGCCTGCAGCTGGACCTGACCCTTCAAGGTGAAGTTGTGGAAAGCACCCCACTTCAGGAGATGCTATTGGAACCACAAATGGGTGCGGTACAGGCCCAGACGCTCGAATGGAGAATACCAAAGCAGACGCACCGCAAATGTTCCAGAGAATGGAGATTCCCACCACCATTGCATAGCCAGTCACTAGCTGGTCTCTTGGAGCAATTTGACCAACTCGGCATGAGCAGCACTACTCAACCCCTTGGCACCGAACAGCCCAGATAGACCTTGGCACAGTCTACATTCACCTTCCTGGGCCAAGAAGTTACAGCGCAATTGAGTGAGCATCAGCTTCCTTCCACTTGGCGCAGAGTGGTTCAGTCTATAGTCTCATGGAACGGACGAGCTGCAGCCACGGTCACCACAGGAATGCAAATGACCCAACAACCAAACTTGCTGAACCAGCCCAGCCAGGGAATGATGGGCCTGCAACAAGGCTTCTGGGGTCTCACTACTCCACCGCAACAACCAGTCTTTGGCCAGTGGGCCAGATCCCTCTTGGATGGGCATTCTACCCCGACCAGGGATGGGTGCAATATCAGTGGAGCCGGCCCTGGTTCTGCAGCCGATGCCTTTCCAACAGCTCAGGCCTTTCCAGATACCAGTCATTGCTCTACAAGAAGCACGGGCCCAGCTGCAGCTGCAGTTTCAACCCCAGTCTGTGATCCCTCAACAGGTCCCAGCCTAGCAGCAGTTGCTGGACTAACAACCCGCACAAGCTCAGCAACAGGCCGACCAGCCGTTCCCCCTCCATGTTTCCGGGCAGTGTTTGACGGGACTCCAGAGAGACTAGCCTACTTCCTCAATCAAGTCTGGGCTCACATTGACCAGCATGGGGATCAATACCCCTTCGATTGGGAATTGATTTCTGCCATCACTGATGGCATGAATGAAGGAGAAGTGGCAAAATGGATAGCTGAGCTTCACGACAAAGAGACCCTTGAGCTAGAAGATGCAAATGAGTTCGTCCAGCTGATGTGGGCACGATTTGAGGGCATGGCCCATCGAGTGGAAGCCGAGTCTCAGATTAAGGTGCTGGATCAAGCCTGCTGACAGCTGAAAGAATTAATTTGGGAGTTTCAGAGACTGGCCAGAATGCCTCCTTGTACATACTTTTAAGGAGACTCTCAACCCAGACCTCAGACAAGCCTGTGGAATCAGGAGAGTACCAGAATGTATATAGGCTTGGTACAACACCACTGTCGCCTTGGACCTGGAACGTCACTCCCATAGGAAGCCTGCCATAGACAAGAATGCCACTGGGGTGCCAAGTCCAAGTGAAGAAAGCCAATGTGTTGCCTCCCACACTGTCTGGGGCTGTCGAATGCTATTGGTGTGGTCAGCATGGGCACCAGGCTTCCAAATGCTTGGCCCCAGCCCTGGTTTCCCAAGCCCAGCCTCCAGTCATGGCCAGGACAAGGCAAACCCTGCGGAAGCCGCCCGACAAAGGACGACTCACCAAGCAGGCTGTAAAGGTTCCACTCCTTCCCAATGAAGTTGAGGGAACTCCAGCCAGTGAAACCCCACAAAGCCCCATGGGGAAAACAGCTGTGATGACAACCCGATGGTAAGTACAGCCATCCGCCTCTTTACTATCAAAACTAAGATAGCAGTACCAGAAACGGGTCCAAGGGAAGTAGAGGCCATCATAGACATGGGCTGCACTTGATGCCTAATCATCCTCCCCATATTTGAACAGTTAGGTATATGCACAAGACCCCTAGGGCACCCCATCCATTTCAAGCAGGTTGATGGAACACTAATTGGCAGGGCCCCTGCCACATTAGTCATTGAGCTCATCAGACTGGAGATGGGTCACCACCAAGAACTCATTCGGTTTGTCATAACCCCAAAAATGACTGTGTTGGTTAAACTAGGGCTTGCATGACTGGACAAGTGGGGACTAACCATCACCTGGGAGGACGGTTATAAAAAATATCAGCATTGGGCCGCTACACCCATAAAACCAAACCATTACCAAGAAACCACGACCCCTAACAGCGTCAGCGACCCCGAAGCCACAGCCCCCGCCACTGATGGACTATCTGGCAGCCAACACGTGCCAAAAGAGTATTGAGACCTATCCGGGGTTTTTAGTGAAGAAGACTGCAACTTCCTCCCCCCTCATTGTGCAACCCATTGCATGATAGAGTTTGTGCCAGGGGCTAAACTACCCAAACTTAAGATGTAATCCATGACTCCTAAAGAAATGAAGGAATTGAGAAAATACATTGATGCCAACCTAGTGCCGGGCTTCAGCGCTGCACTGCCAACAAAAGGACAACATCTGGTAAGAGAACAAAGAATTATAGAAGTGAACCACTGGCTACAGGGTTGGTGTCGCCAGAAAAACTTTGGATTCCTGGACCATGGTCTGTACTATCTCCAAGATGGGCTTTTGGCAAGGGATGGATTGCACCTCACAAAGACTGGGAAGACAAACCCAAACACCAAATAGGAGACATAGAAAGCAAACCCAGAGTCAGACATAAAGATCTCAAGTGCACAAAGTCTGGGGAACAAACAGGGTGAACTTGAACTATTATTACATGAAGGTAGATATGACATAGTTGAAATAACAGAAACTTGGTGGGATGAAACCCATGACTGGAACATACTGATAGAAGGATACAAACTCTTCAAAAAAGAAACAGACCCCATAAAAGACGAGGTGGAGTTGCACTGTATGTAAAGGACCACTACTTCACTACAGAATTGCATGAAACCAAAGAAGAAAACCTCATAGAATGCATATAGGTCAACATAAAAGAAAAAAAGAATGGCATGGCCATAGGTATATACTATAGGCCACCCAATCAAGCAGAAGCAGTTTCGCCAACCAACTAACAAACATATGTAGAAAATACTACAATAGTAATGGGGGACTTCAATTACCCTGATATCAATTTGAAAACTAATTCTGCACCAAGTGAGAATTTGAATAAGTTCCTAACCAATCTAGCTGACAACTTTGTCATCCAAAAGCTAGTGGAGAGAACTAGAGGGACAGCCATACAGGAATTAATATTTACAAACAGAGAAGAAGTGATAGAGGCAGTTGAAACTGCAGGAACCTTGTGAGAGAGTGAACATGTCATACTAGAATTCAACATAATGCAAACACAAGCAATAGTACATAATGATACCAGAATCTTAGATTTTAAAAGAGCTGATTTTAATAAACTCAGAGAGAACTTGGGAAAGATTCCTTGGATGAAAATCCTAAAGGGGAAAACAATTCAAGAATCTTGGGAAACTCTGAAAAATATGATCATAAAAGCCCATACCAGCACAATACCAATGAGAAAGAAAAACAAGAAATCCAAGAAGAAACCAGCATGGCTGCACAAAGCTTTCTCTGACAAATTGAAAGAGAAAATGGACAAGTACAAAAAACAGAAAGAGGGACACATAACTAAGGCAGGATATCAGCAGATAGCCAGAATCTGCAAAGAAAGCAAAGGCAGAATGAACCAAGACTTGCAACAAAAGTCAAAGATTAAAAAAAAAATTTCTTCCAACATATAAACAAGAAACAAATCAAGGAAAAAGTTAGTGCACTAAAGAAAGAAGATAGCAAGGAAGTAACAGGCAACAGAGAGAAAGCAGAGCTACTTAACTCCTCCTTTGCATCGGTCTTCACGCAAAAAGAAACTATAGCCCAACTTACCAGAAATATAACTAAATAACTGACTGGATATGGGTGATATATAGTCAAAATAACCTTCCTTTCTCAGAGAGTCAAGGACAGCTGCAATGGTGTGACTGGGAGGCATCTCCAGTTTTTGATAGGGCCTTATTGGATCATGTGGATGCTGGGCAGAGACCTGAACTTTCATTTGGGTGGGGAAAACCTGGAAACTTTTAGATTCAGGTTTTCCCAGATGTGCCAATATAACATCTCTAATAAAATGAAACATTGAGGACACTCAAGCCTTGGTTTCTTTTTTTCGTTGGGGGTGTTACTTGGAAACCTGACATTCATGCTTTATTGTATCTAGTTATTTTAATGATACTTCACAGTTGTAAGACAATTTGCTGCTAGTTTGCCTTTTCTTAAATATAAGGAATAAATATAAAATTTAATTAGTGACATAAATGTATTTTTGGTATTCAGCAGCTCCAAGACAAAGTGAATGAAATGGATTTTGAACTGAAATCTGTCCAGCATGCATCCAAGAAACAGGATCACATAATCCAGAAATTGAAAGAGACGTTAGAGAGCAAGGAAAATGAGGTTTGTAATTCTTTGAAGAATGAATACTGATATAGATCAAATGACTGAAATATAATTAGAATAGAATAGAGCTGGAAAAGATCTTGGACATCTTTTGGTCCAACTGCATGCTCAAGCAGGAGAACCTATATCATTTCAGACAGTTGGCTGTCCAGTCTTTTATTAAAAACCACCAGTGGTGAAATACCCACATCATCTGAAGGCAAGCTGTTCCACTGGTTAATTGTTCTTACTGTTAGGAAATTTCTCCTTAAATTCCAGGTTGCTTGTCTCCTTGATAAGTTTCCACCCATTGTTCCTTGTCTTGCCTTCTGGTGTTTTGGAAAATAAGTTGACCCCCGCCACTTCAGCTGACTGTTATCTGCAGTTCAGCGGTTCTAATCTCACCGGCTCAAGGTTGACTCAGCCTTCCATCCTTCCGAGGTGGGTGAAATGAGGACCCAGACTGTTGGGGGCGATATGCTGACTCTGTAAACCACATGGAGAGGGCTGAAAGCCCTATGAAGCGGTATATAAGTCTAACTGCTATTGCTATAACCCCCAGTCCTTTTTTTCTCTAGACTAGCCAAACTCAAATCCTGCAACTGTCCTTCATATGTTTTAGTCTCCAGGCTTCTGATCATCTTGGTTGATCTTCTTGCACTTTTTCCAAAGCCTCAACATCTCTGGTAATATGGTGGCCAAAACTGGATGCAGTATCCCAGGTGTGGTCTTACTAAGGTCTTATAAAGCAATACTAATACTTCAAATGATTTTGATTCTATGCCTCTGTTTATACGATCAAGATTGCATTAGCTTTTTTGGCTGCTGCTGCACACTTCTGGCTCACGTTTTAGTGATCGTCCACTAGTATTGCAAGGTCCATCTCACAGTTAGTTTTTGACCCAGGTTTCGCCTAATCTATACTTGTTCCTTTGTTTTTTTCCTACCTAAGTGTCAAACCTTGCTTTTCTCCACATTAAATTTCATTTTGTTGGATAGGGCCCATTTTTCAAGTCTGTCAAGATCTTGAGCCTACAACTAGCGTGTTGGCTATTCTTGCCAGCTTTCTGTCATCTGCAATTTTGGTAAGTTTTCCTTCTCCATAGTGAGGGGAGGAGTATCCAGGATGGGTTGACCTTGTCCTCTCTTGATTGGACTGAGTCAGATAAGCTCTTTTAGCCACACCTTGGTCATCAGGCTCCACCCAGTTATCGACTCAGTCCATCTGAAATCAGGTGCCAGGATTTCCCCCACCCCCTCTTGGAGCAAAGAGGAACATCCTGTTTCAATGAGAAAGGCTGATTATCTCTCCTGAGATGAAGGACACTGTTGTGATTAAGAAGAGGTGTTAAAAAGGGGCCAAGAGTTGCATGAGAAATGCAGCATCTAACACCTAGCTGATTCAATCTGCTCTGAAAAGCCTGTTTTTGTTTTTCTCTGATACACTGAAAAAGCAGATCCTGTAAAGTTAGAAAAGCAGGTTTCCTCTCTCTCCTTGTTTGAAAGCAAGATCGACTTTGTTTATATATATATATAAGCAAAAGACCACTCATGCATCATCACAAAATCTCCAGATCTGTAAAGCTTACAAACTTGAAATTTGGCACATATGTTCCTCTTGGCACCTAGGTGCTCGCTAAGAAAGGATTTTTCGAAATGACCATCAGATCATCAGTATTCCTTATACAGTATTATATTAACATGCGTCGATGCTAAGGAATTAGACGTTCCGCTTATATGGGTGTGGCCAGAGTGTGATTCATCCACCCTGTGGGCTGGCCCGATCACATGGTTTTGTAGCGAAACACAGATATCCAGCTAGTTGACAATAAATAGAAAAAAAATATTGCAATAACATTTTTCTTTCACTAGATTTCCAATCTTTAAAAATGCAATGATTGTTGACACTCACTAGGTATTCCATAAATTAATCATGTGGTTTTAAGATGTCCTCTTATAAATAACTGTTTTTTATCTTCAAAAGGACATGTGGATTGAAATTCGATAAACTCTTTAAACAGCTAACCTGTTCCTAGGTCAAATGTTATTTGCAGATTTCTTAATTTAGTTGTTGAGCCTTATTAGCCATTTACAGTTCTACTATCAGTGAAGTAGCATTTGTTCCACTTTGGGCCCTATGCAACAAGATGTAGTTCAGTGATGAGAAAAGTAAGGTCCTACATATAGGCAAGAAAAACCAAATGCATAAGTATAGAATAGTGGTACCTGGCTCAACAGTAGCATTTGTGAGAGGATCTAGTGGACCACTACTTAAGTATGAGGCAGCAATGTGTAGAAGCTGCCAAAAAGGCTGATGCAATCGTAGGCTACGTCAACAGAAGGATAGTATCAAGACAAAGAGTACCAGAGGGCACCCAGAGGGCAAGACAAAAAGTAATGGGTGAAAGCTTGTCAAAGAGAGATCCAACCAAGAAGTAAAGAGAAATTTTCTGACAGCGAGAACAATTAATTAATGGAATGGCTTACCTCCTGGTGTTGTGGCTCCCATCACTAGAGGTTTTCAAAAAATAGATTAGACAGTTATTTGATTGGGATGGTATAAGGCTCCTTCCTTTCGATTTAACATTTTTATTGTTATAAAATATTGTAAAATAAAAAAGTAAATAGAAAAGCAGAGGGGGAAGGGAAAGGGAAGTGAGGAAAGATAAGAAAAAGAAGCATTAACTTCCGACTCTCTCTGTTACAGTAAAATAAGGCATTAACATCAAATCACAACTTTTTGCTTTTTCATAATAATATAAACAAAACATTTCTGTAAAGATCTATCAATCTACTCAGTAAAACCCAAAATCAAAGTTTCATTCTTTTCCACATCTAGCATGAAGTTCAGAAGTGGTCTCCAGGTAGAAACAAAAGTACTTATGTTCTTTTCTTTAACCAAAATAGTCAATTTTGGCATTTCAACCAACTCCATCAACTTTTGCAACCATTTGTCCATAGTAGGAATCAAAGTGTCCTTCCATTTTTGTGCATACAATAGTCTCGCTGCTGTCAATATATATCAAAGTTCCAATTCTTTTCTCCAGTTCTTTTTTCATTAGGAAAAAAATGAACAAAGAAAAAGAAAAGTTCTGATTTCATTTTTATCTCCATTTTCAAAATTTTCTGTATTAAAATATGAATCATACTCTAAATTTTGTTTTGCTTTATCACATGTCCATTATAGATGATAAAAAGTCCCTTCTTTACTTTTACCTTGAGCCGTTTGGGTTTTTCTCTTGTTTCTTGTTTACTTTCTGATTTCAAATTGCTCGGTCCTGTTTGCTGTAGTGTGAAGAACTAATTCAAGTAATTCATAATCAGAATGAGAAAATAATCGAACTGCAAGACATGCTACATAAGAAACAGCTTGGACAATTACAGGTATGGCTTTTACTTGATTTTTTTTTTACAAATTAATGTTTTTTGTTCATATCTCTCCAAAAATGGGAGTTTATATTATTTGTTTTGAGTCTTACAAGATGATTAATCCTAATAATGAATACTAAAGATATAATATATACTAAAAATGTTTCCCATTAAATTCAAAATATGCCTGCTAAAACATTTCTAGTATTAACACAGACGATACAGTAGTATATTATAAGATGCAAAGATCTTACTGTTCCCAATGAAGAAGTTTAAATAATTGAGTACTTTAGAGTAAATCTTTACCTACTTATAGCTAATAATTAAGATGAGGAGGTAGAACAGTACAATAGTGATCTGCTGTCTACAGTTGAAAATCTGCCGCAGAAAGAAATTGATAGATTTTCTAGTTCAAAAATACTTCAGGACTTCAGAATATTGAATTCAGAGGTGGTATTCTGACCAGTTCTGGAGAACTGGTAGCAGAAATTTTGAGTAGTTCGGAGAACCGGTAAATACCATCTCTGACTGGCCCCACCCCCATCTAGTCTCTGCCTCCCGAGTCCCAGCTGTTCGGGAAGGAATGAGGATTTTGCAGTAACCTTCCCCTAGAGTGAGGTGGGAATGGAGATTTTACAGTATCCTTTCCCTGCCACGCCCACCAAACCACACCCACAGAACCAGTAGTAAAAAAATTTGAATTGTACCACTGGTTGAATTGTGTTTCAAAATGAAACAGTTGCTAAGAAGATATTGTAAGCCACCTGGAGTAACCAATGTGTGAGTTGGGAAGCTAAAAGGTATAAACAAACACAAGCAAATAAACAGGCATCCTAGTTTATGACCTAATTCATCAATATAAGGCTTTGAGGTATATATGGGTTGCATCATACGAGGGTAGGGAGAAGTGTGTTCGGATAGAGCCTTGAAAATCTTAGCAGAATGACTTTAAAGAAGGATACAGAAGAAAAAGCAAAGACACAGGAACATAGCTGCATATGACAATAGAAGGAGTCATGAGCCAGGAAATACTAACTATAAATCTCCAGTTTTCAGTGATAGAGAAATGACTCAACAATGACATCTGTAGGTTCCAATGTTTTATACAATTGTACTCAGAGAATGGATAACAAACAGAAAGAAATAGAATCCTAAAATGGGAAAGCAATGATTACATAAATATTAAAAAATGCAGTGAGATGAGAATCATGATTAGAAAGTAGAAATCAGAGAATATTAATTATTCAAAAAAATAGACCCAATATTATCACAGTACAGGTTTTTCGACATACAACCATTCATTTAACAACCATTCAAAGTTATGACAGCACTGAAAAAAACTTACTTATGGCTGGTCCTCACACATGATTATTGAAGCATCCCTTTGATTATGTGAGCAAAATTTGTGTGCTTGGCAACCAGCATAAATTTATGATGGTTGCAGCATCCCAGATTCACTTGGGGACTTCTCATAAGCAATCAGTGTGATTAATTTGCTTAATGACTACAGCAGCAAAAGTCAAAATCATGCATGACTCACTTTATGATCACAATTTATGATCGCAACTTAATGATCGCATCATGTAGCAACAGAAGTTCCAGTGCCATTTATCATCTTAGGTCAATGAATACAATGATTTCTGATGTCCTATGCTATAACTCAGAATGCATAAAACCTATGATCATGTCAGCATTTTAATGACCAGTGATTGCCTAAACTGCCTCTGTTCTGTTTCCTACTTTTGAATCTTTTTAGAACTTAGAGGGCTGTTCTTCATCACAACAGAAACAAACAATAGCATTTCTTGATGCGCAGAATGAACTTTTCTTCACTCAGTTGGAAATGCAAAAATTGAAATATGCCCAGCAGCAAAAGGATCGACAGTTAGCTGAGGCTAAAAGGACCAGCCACTTTCTAGAGACAGCATTGCAAGAAGAACAGCTACAAAAAGAAGCAGCTTGGGAACATAATAAGGTATGATTTTTGAACAATTAACTTTAGCAATAAAAGTGGAAGATACCTTTTCTGAATCATCTAAATCACAATCAGAGGAGAGAAATAAACCATATTGTCAGTGCATAATCCTCCCAATTAGAGAAAGGGAAGGCAAAGAATCCCTGTAGATTTTACCCTACTGGTTGTTGCCAACTATAGGGGGCAACACTGACCTCCATTTTGAAGCCATGAGCCAGCACTGTCTGAAGGTGTTTCTGAACTGGATGCAGTATTTTAAATATGGTCTCACCAGTACACTGTAAAGCAGTACTGTCACTTCATTTATCATAATACTATCCCTCTATTGATGCAGCCTAGGACTGCATTGACTTTTTTTGGCAGCAGCAGCACACTACTGGCTCATACTTAAGTGGTAGATCCCTAGGATACCTAGATTGGTCTCACAGTTACTACTGTAGTTCTTCAAATTCACAGTTTTCCATGATGTCCAATTCCAAAGTTACAGTTAGTTATACAGTTCTTATTTCAGAGTTCTGATCCACCTTAAATTTATCTACTTCAGCTGCTGTGGGGAAGAGCAATGGGAGCCATCTTGATCTTTTGTTCTTCCTTAATGTCCAGTTCCAAAATTGCAGTTAGTTATACAAGTCTTATTTCAAGGTTCTGGTCCACCTTAAATTTAATTAATTCAACTACTGTGAAACTGGAAGAGAAGCTGCGGCCATCTTAATCTTTTGCAGAGGGAAAAAAAAGGAAGAAAGAGGGGGAAAAACCCCGTATTTCCCAGTTCTTCATTCTGTTATTATTCTTTCCCTTGCCACCTTCCACCTCGGGTCGACTACAGCCACTCAAAATATATCAATTGAAACAAACTTGCAAGCAATCAAATTTGGGTACGTTTCTCTTTTGCCTCCTGCTTTCCCAAATTCTGATTTATGGCAGTTGGTTAATTAAAACTTCCCGCACAGTCAAGGTTAGGTTACCAGTTATCAATGAGAAGAAGTGCTTTTTTCTTGATTTTTTTGGAGTTGCTTAAGATATATTAGTTGGAAGAAGTTCAAATGAAGAAAATCCTTTGGAATGTTTGATTTCTATTTCAAATCCAAAACCAAATTTAGAGTTTATATTTGAATGGATTTGTCACTTCTCTGCTTTTTTTTCTGTCCGAATTTGTTTCAAACAAATAACTTGGGGGGGGGGGGGGCTAGTGTTTCAACCCTCCATTTTCCTTTTCTTTCTTTCTTT